TTTTGTATTTTTAGTAGAGACAGGGTTACATTATGTTGCCCAGGCTGGTCCTCAAGCACCTGACCTTGTGACCTGCCCACCTTGGCCTCCCAAAGTGCTGAGATACAGATGTGAGCCACCACGCTCCAACAGGAGGTTTTTTTTGTTTTGTTTTTTGTTTTTGAGATAGTGTCTTACTCTGTCACCCAGGTTGGCATGCAGTGGCAAGATCTTGGTTCAGTACAACCTCTGCCCCCAGGGTTTAAACAGTTCAACTGCCTCAGCCTCTTGAGTAGCTGGCTAAAGGCATGTGTCACTGGCCTGGCTAATTTTTTTTATTTTTAGTAGAGACGAGGTTTCACCATGTTAGCCAGGATGGTCTCGATCTCCTGACCTTGTGATCCACCTGCCTCCGCCTTCCAAAGTGCAAGAATTACAGGCCTCAGCCACCACATCTGGCCTTAGTTGTGAGTTCTAATTTGATTGCACTGTGCTGTGAGAGATTGTTATGATTTCAGTTCTTTTGCATTTCTGAGAAGTGTTTTACCTCCAATTATGTGATCAATTTAAGAATAAGTGCCGTGTGGCACTGAGAAGAATGTGTATTTTGTTATTTTTGGCTGAAGAGTCCTATAGATTTCTGTCAGGTCCACTTGTCCCAGAGCTGAGTTCAAGTCCTGAATTTCCTTGTTACTTTTATTTCTTAATTATCTGTCTGTTATTGGCAATGAGATGTTAAAGTCTCTCACTATTATTGTGTGAGAGTCTAAGTCTTTTTGTAGGTCTCTAAGAATGTGTTTTTTTAATCGGGATCCTCCTTGAATTGATTCTTTTAGCATAACATAATACTCTTGTATTTTTTTTTAAATCTTTGTTGGTTTAAAGTCTGTTTCGTCAGAAACTGTGATTGCAAACCTTGCTTTTTTCCTATTTTATTTTCTTTGTAAAATTTCCCCCTTTTCAGGCCGGGCGCGGTGGCTCAAGCCTGTAATCCCAGCACTGTGGGAGGCCGAGACGGGTAGATCACGAGGTCAAGAGATCGAGACCATCCTGGTCAACATGGTGAAACCCCGTCTCTACTAATAATACAAAAAATTAGCTGGGCATGATGGCGCGTGCGTGTAATCCCAGCGACTCAGGAGGCTGGGGCAGGAGAATTGCCTGAACCCGGGAGGCGGAGGTTGCGGTGAGCTGAGATCGCGCCATTGCACTCCAGCCTGGGTAACAAGAGCGAAACTCTGTCTCAAAAACAAAAACAAAAAAAATTACATACATTACAGTGTTATCAGTCTTTAAAATGGATATTTTAATATATATTAATTATATGAATTAATATATATTAATA